TCAATAAAAGAAATATAATTCGGTGAAACATATACAGAGACGGCAATTTTCATTCAGGAAGACAAATATTAAAGTGTCTCTAAAAATCCTGAGTCTTCGAGCTTTAAAGCTGAAGTTTATGTTTTAAGCCGGCTTCCCGGTGTTTGCTTTTTTCAAAGACGAACTCGAGGCAAAGAAATCGCTCAAACCTTTCTTTTACAGCCAGAATTATAACTAAATATTCCTTGAAACGTTTTCTTTCTATTTGCGGTGAGAAAATGTCTAAAGGCTTTTTAAAGATCTGTAAGGTTATAACAAACCTGATACTCGGTCAGACCATTGTCTCAAATCTTACAAACGTGCGTAAACAAAATAGCCGCATAAACTACGCTCGACTTCATTAAATTAGGAATAAAAAACAAACATCAAATACAATAATTACTTAGGCTTACCACTCGAGATGCAGCTCCTGAAAGGTGTCTAGTAAGGCCAGTATCGCTTCAGACTTTGCAACCCTCTTACGCATTAAGCAAGGTGAAAGCGAAAACGATGCCATGCGAAATCGGATTTCCGACTTTGACTCAACCAAAAACCAAATAAACAAACTAGCCATGAATAACAGAAGACTCCTGATAGCAGCTGAATTTCATTTTGTACATCCAGTGGAAAAAGAAAGTTAAAAGCATCACAAGTTGACACAAACCTCTGTCAACTTCAGCTGTCAAAGTAAACAAGATTCAAGATGCTGCATAAATTTTCCGCATGAACTCACCTGTCAAATTTTGGACGTAGAGCGTGACCAACGCGTGGACATGGCGAGAAAAGTCAAAAGCAACTGTCTTCCCTGCCTGTAGCAGCTGGCTGAATTTTCGCGTCCGAGGTCAGTTTGAAATCAAAATTTTAGTTGTGCGGCACATAAACACGACATATTTCATATGAATTTTAAAAAAAAATTAAACTTGAGCCTGCGATTATTTAAGAAACCAGTACCTTGTCAGCAGATAACTTCAAAAAATACTTGACCTCGATGGGTCGACACCTGAGCCCGCGATACAGTCAAGTGATACTGGTCAGCGGATACCTTGTTTTGACAGCTGTCAATTGATCACAACATTGATGTCCAATATGTGTATCAGTTTTCCTGTGCTCCAATCCCAAACTAGCTAGAAAGTATGAGACTGAACATTGATCTCGATCTAGTAAAATAATTAACTGGTCAGCGGACAGCTTCCAAATAAATCACGTCACCTCAATGAGTTGACACATGAGCCCGCGATATTGTCATGGGATACTAGTCAGTGGCTATCCTGTTTTGACAGCTGTCAATTGACCATATTGTGAATGTCCAATGTAAAAGACGTGGACTTGGCAAGACACGCCCGAGACACCCCTCCCTTCCTTTTGATAGTCTCCCCTACCCCACCCGTACAATCCGTAGACGCGTACGTACGTACGCTCGGTCAATCACATGACAACCAAACGAAAAGTGGTTGACCATAATCTATGATTATGGGGCTCTGTCCCACGGGCTTCGCGCGCGTGGGAGCCCCGCTAAAACAGTTTCCACACAGTTGCTGAATGACAAGGCACTAAAATCCTTATTCTTTTAGGGGTCTCAACACTCAGCATTCAAGAATGAAATTGCAAGCCTAACTCACAAGGAGCAGTCACTCAAGCTGATCAAGAAAAGGCCCATTGTAAATATAGATCCCTTAATCGACGATCATAGACTAAGAAGCGTTGGTAAGAGGCTGGAAAATTCTACCTTACCATTTGATGTTAAACACCTAATAATCTTACCGAGGTGTTTCCAAATAACGGAGCTGATCATTGATCATTTTCATAAGAAGGTCAACATCAAGGAAAGCGGATGACGATTAATTAAATTCGTTGCTCTGGAATATGGTCAATGATGCAGTAGCCTGTCATACTTATGCGTACAGTGCTAACGCCAAATCTCTCTGATGGTAGAGTGGAATCTACCCTTCTCTTTTAATAATATAGAATGGATTGCTTTGGGTTGATCAGAGTTAAGGAAGAAAGAAAGGAACTGAAAAAATACTCAATGATGCTCACTTGCATGAGTTCTCGAGCAGGGGTCATCGCAACTGTTCAAGAAGTTCCACTGAATGAGTGGCCCCCTTACAAGATAATGGAGACTTCAACAGTCTTCTCGGTTTAGTGAAGATAAGGCTTGGATCCAGAAACACTCTTGTTGCAGAACGATCTTCATGTCATCCCAAGTAAAGACTGGACTGACGTCTTGAACATTCACAGCCCCTCTAATTCCTTGATTCTTACTTACTATTCATAAAATGAAAGAATCAAAAGAATCCTGGCTCACAACTAAAACATCTTGTCAAGTGAAACCAGAGAAGTCTTTTCATAGCCACCGCGGGTCGCCTATCACCGCGACAGCAACTTCTGTGATGTCTTTGTGCGTACTTTCTACAGCAACCAACCCTGTTTTTAGGAAGGGACATCTTTATACTTACACGCTTGCAGTTGCACGGGCCATCACATTTTCACCGACACCAATGTCTGTGGCTTGAATTGTTCTTTTTTCATCAAGAAGGCGTTACCTTGCCCAATGTCTGGCTTACTCTGCTGCATCTCCTGTCGCCGTTACCCTGCCATCTACATCGAAGAAACCGGGCGTTTATTCGTGAATAAGGGTAGATTTCCCGTGTCGCGTAATTTTTACGTGCGTACGTGCATAAAAGTTACGTTCGCAAATAAAATAGAGGCAACGCATGAAAGTTCGCTCGTAAACTTAAACATTGAACCTCGCTCAAATCCTTGTTTAACCTCAGCCTTTTTATCTTGCCTCTATTTTATTTACGTGATTAAGATTTACGTGCGTGGCTAAAAACGCGTCAGTGGAAATCAACCTTTATAATTTCCAAGAACACAAGAATGACGGCTGCAAAGAATGGCTGCATGACTCGAAATATACTAGATCACGGGTTCTGGAAACCCAACAATAAGCGTAGTTAGAGAGGCTAACACTCGTGCGCATTTTTTAAAAATTTTTTATTCTCCAGGCACTCAATTGCAATAAAAACTATGATTCCAGAAATATCAAACAGAGCAGTGTTATATTTTTCCAAGGTGAAAACTGTAATGTTTTTCAGGCGTGGAAATTCCTTCGGAAAACAGGTAAGTTGAGGAGAAGCCTGACTTTGGTAAATGCATTATTTTCCAGGAGGAAACTAGGGAGTTCGTTTGTTCAGAGTGTGAGTGAAGAAGCTTATGCAAGTGTTTTGCACTGCGTGCATTCTAGACCTGGGTACGCTGAAACTGAGTTTGCTGCCATCCGTAGATTACTGGAGGGGGTATTGGCAGAAGAATTAAGACAAAATAATGCTTCTTTCCGCGCAAGATGCAGGAAGCGACTTGTAAATTCTACTATTTTGAAATGTGCTGAAGCGAGATTCGAGAAAGCAGCTGCGTCACAAAATACTTCATTCCTTTCACATCCTCCTGGAAGGCCGTCCCTTGCTTCGCACACAGGCTGTTATTTCCCCTCCGCTTTCCATGGCTTAACAAAACAAACTTCAAGGCGGATTCCACGTTCATCCACAGCTTCCTTCAATAAGAAGTTATGTTTCTTTTGCCTGTCACACGACGATAAGCAGGACGTTCATGGAATACAAATTAGGAACAGGAGAAAGCAACTTTAATGTAAAGAGCTTGGTAGAGACAATATCTTGCGCATCTATGCCGAGCGTAGTAATTGATGTTCTACATGAGTTAGGCGTGTCAGTTAATTATGCTAGGATCTCAGTTTGCGCATGCTGTTCTGAGCACCTCCAGTAAGCACAACATCTTTATACCTCCAAAACTCTGTAAGGGCCAGTTTAATTTTTTCAGTGTTGACAATTCTGATTTCTCAGGAGACACCCCCCGAAGGAAAGAACACACTTTATACAACCGCTATGCGTGTGTTCCAGCAAAAACCTACTAAGGATCAAGAAACTTGTTTGTTCAAGAAAAAATCGTCGACGCCAAGTTAAGTGTTTGGAGACCCATGAAAAAAAGGAAATCTTAAGTCATGTCAGTCTGCTTGGCAAACAAAGAAAAACAAGACATCTAGTGGCGTCGCACCCGTAAAGGATGACAGGGCTCTCTTGGCACGCTTCTTAGTCGTCATTCTGTCAAGGCCTGATCTTAATATAAAGGAAACCATCAGTACCTTTAAGTTGACCGAGTAATCAAGGGTACTCCTCTTCTCTGATGGCAGTTTGCGACACTGCGTTACCAAGAGCAAGCTGATGATCATCCTAGAAAGCCTTTTACCGGCCCAACAGCAACCACAAACGTCTACAGTACAACCTCACTTTACAGATCCCTCCAGTAGGCAAGTGGTCATTATTGATGCCATGGCCATCGTCCAGGCAATTGGAAAGCCACCGTGACTATATGGAAATTCGCGGAAGCTGAATTGCCCTTAAAGGTTATCTTGAGAGCGGAAGTGCATAAGTTGGTGATGGTGTTTCCTCCGTAGCTCTTCAGAACAACATTACTGGGCTTGATGTCCAGACAAAGACCGAGCTTCTGCAGGTAGTCCGTAGTCAAGACGCATGTGTCTGCTCCAGTATCAACCTTCATTGGAATGGAGCGGGTATCATTGATCTTGACTGTAGTGATGATCCTCTCAGGGTTACTGCTAACAACATCCACTGTGTTCTCAGATGTAATGGTATCGAGTACTACTGTAATTGGTTCAGATTCCTCATTGCTGTCCCCACAATAATCTGTTTCTTCTTCGTCGTTTACCAGCAGGTAAATGTGCTGGCCTCTGTAATCTGGGCTTTGCGCGATCACATTGACTTGTTTTAATCGCTTCTTCATGCACACTCGCTCAAAATGGCCTGTTTTCCCGCAATATTGGCATTTAGCACGCATGGCTGAACAATTATCAGTAGTACCGTGTTTGTTTCCACACCTGAAACAGCCATTGAATTTGATTGGAACTTGTGCTTGTGTGCAAGTGGAACTTGGCGTTGCACCGGAGCTGTATGTTCGGTTAAAGCTCTAGGGGGGGAGGGGTATCTGATTTTTGTTTTCTTCTTACAGAGTGTACACTCCCAGCTTGGTACCCCTGTGTAATGGCTTGCATTTTTGCCTTTGCGCTTTCCTCCGTTTTAGCTAGGTCATTGACTTGTTGAAAAGTGAGAGAGTTTCCTTTCGAGATTGCGTCCTTCCTAACTTTGTCTGATCTCAGTCCGAATACCAACGTGTCCCAAAGGGTTTCCTCTTTGAATGGAGGGTCATAGCCGCTGTCCTCATTGAGTGTTCTGGCCTTAGTCAGAGGTTCTTCTAAGACATGTCTTCTTGTTACAGGCATCGCAGCTGGTACCTTGATAAGATTTGACTGCTCTGGGGTTTTGTGTATGCTTCAAATTTCTCGAAGATGGGTTCTCGTTGAGTTGGTCCTTGTCACTTGACCATGTAGCTGTTATAAATCTCTAAGCCTTTATCGCCGGCCTAAAGCAGCAGTAATCTCGCCTTTTATCCTCCGCTTTATTTTCTAAGGGGCCGTCGAAGATTAGGTTGTATTTTTGTTTGAGTATTCTAAACCTGTTGTGCAGGTCTCCGGGAGTCGTCGAGTCTATCCAGGGAGCCGTAAATTTTGACCATGGCTGACGTATGGCAAGCCAAACATGACAAAAGTGGTATGAGTTTTAAATCATCTATCGAGTTTCAGTAATCTATGTATGAGGTTGGGAAATCACTATACGAGAATTAGAAATCATAATTCGAGAATGAAAAGGCACTATACGAGAATGAGAAATCACCATTCGAGAATGTAATCGATTTGTGAGATCTGGAAATTACTATACGAGAATGAGAAATCACCATTCGAAAAAGAGCGATGCAGCAACATAAAAGCCAAACATGACAAAAGTGGTATGAGTTCCAACCAACCTTTCGAGCTTCTGTAATCAATGTGTGAGAATTTTAATCACCGTTCGAGATTATCGATTAGGTTTTCTCGAGCCAGCGAGTAAGCACCGTTCAGCGGTTCACGTTCTGCGTTGATCAAACAAAATGGCCGACAGGATGGCCAATCAGTTAAGCTTGGACGATGTAAGAGAGTTTCTGATTTCTCTAAGCAACACCATCGATAGAACTGTTACAGTTTATAATGCTTCTGACCTAGTAGGATTAGAAATCTGTGAAAGAAGGCTTGACGAACATACAAGGGTACTTGTCGCTATATCGCTGTCACAAAGTGTTGCAGGTGATTCATCATTGGGAGATTTGTTTGGAGTTTTGGTAGATTCCTTAGCTGTATTATTGAGACATCTCTCTAACATTCTGATTACGTCAAGCTCCCGTGAAAGAGAGGAGAGGTCTGTCACGTATTGCAGAAGTACAGGAGGAAGACCAGCCTATAACATTACGAAGGAGCTGATAGAGCAGCTTCGTGAGACTGGAATGAACTGGCGAAGCATAGCAACGTGTTTAGGAGTCTCTGAGCAAACACTTTACCGAAGAAGGGTACAATTCGGAATCGATAACAGTTTCACAGAAATCGCTGACGATGAATTAGACAGGCAAATACAACAAACCCTAAATTTAACACCATATAGTGGGGAATCCTATGTTAGAGGCAGTCTGAAAGGGAGGGGAATAAATGTTCAAAGGTCCAGAATAAGAGAAAGTTTGAAACGGATAGATGGTATTGGGAGAGCTGTGAGGAGAACGTACGCAATCTGTCGAAGGACCTACAACGTGTCTGGTCCAAATCATTTGTGGCACATTGACTCGAACCATAAACTTATTTCATGGAGATTTATTATCCATGGGTGCATTGATGGATACAGTAGAGCCATTGTTTATCTAAAGTGCTGCAGAAATAACAAAGCAAATACTGTTCTCCAATATTTTGAGCAGGGAGTACAAGCGTTTGGTCTCCCTTCCAGGGTTCGAGGTGATCAGGGGATGGAAAACGTTGATGTAGCAAGATACATGATTACCAACAGGGGGTCAGATAGAGGCAGTTTTATTGCTGGCCGCAGTGTGCATAACCAACGCATTGAGAGGTTGTGGGCAGAAGTTAACAGAGTTAGCTCCGCACTTTACAAGGATTTATTCCAGTTCCTTGAGAACACTGGTACCTTGGATTCACTTGATGAACTGCACTTGTTGGCTTTGCAATATGTATACTTACCAAGGATCAATGCATCTCTAGAAGAATTCACAAGGCAATGGAATCATCATGGGATCAGGACAGCAGGTCATCAATCACCTTTGGCACTGTGGTACAGTGCAATGCTTACTGCTCCAGATGAATCCAGCATCATAAATTGGCAGACATATGGTATTGACAATGATGGCCCTATCTCTGACATTGAAACCAACAATAATGTCGTTGTGCCAGAATCACACCTCCAGCTTTCTGAACAGCAACTTCAGGAATTAGAGCGCAATGTGGATCCCATTTCTGATGATGGAAACAATGGCATTGATCATTTTGTTAATACTGTGAGGATTATCGAAAGCTTCACTTCTTGAAACTCCCCCCCCCCCACCTTCCCAAGGAGATGTCATCCCAATTTCTTGCCCTGTGGCCTTTGAAGCAGCACATATTAATTGGAGAAAGAAACAGACTTACAATTTAAGTTATACCACCAGTACAAGTTCTCAGTTCACATTTTGTTATTTTGTTGTATGATCAAGGGTGCAGGTGGAAGGGGTGCGTGGACTAAGGTCCTCAGTTACTTGATGCAATGCCAAATTCTCGCTGTGTTTCAGCAGAATATAAGGCAATTTGGAAGGAGAATCTAGCAATTTATCAGAAGTCACTTGGGGCTTTTTTCCAGGCAACCCTTTTTGAACTATCCCCTTCTCTGCTTGTTGGTGACATGGTCAATATTGGTTTAATAGAGGGTGATAGGTATGCAGCCCAAAATGTATTTCTCATGTTTTTGTTGGTGTTATTTTTTTCAATACACCATGCACAAACCACAATAGATTTTAAGATGTGTTTTGAAACTATCAATAGAAACGTTTCTGCCATAGCATGTGATGGTAAAACAAATAAAGATTGTGCACGGTTGTGGTAATATCATAATAAATTGCAGCACCTTTCTAGCTTTTAAGTTTACACGGTTTTATAACCAGTCCCTCAAGAAATGAAAAAGCCAAAGGAAATAATTTCAAGGGAATTCATACATGTGCATTATGGTAGTCACCATGCTACTGACAAAGGCCTTATAAAACAAACTACAATCAATACATGGCAATAATATAAAATTTTTATTGCAACATAATTATTGTTATGCAGTTCTTACAAAATCTGTAGTTACAAACAATTCTTTGTGATTCATTATAAATTAATCACTTTACAATCATATAGGAAGTTGCAAAATCATCCATATGAACACAGTCATATAACTTAGTGCTTCCAAGACTAGAAATAGAACAACAACAAATGAATGTCCAACCAACCAACCTATGCCACTGATATTATTATAAAGGAAATAAAGGGAGATGTAGAGAATAAACCATAAGAGGACACAGAAAAAATCTGAGCCCCAGGTGGGATTCGAACCCACTACCCTCCGTGTTCTAGATCAGATGCTCTAACCTCTGAGCACAGCGTGACTGCGTGATGCGGTTCACAAGTCCAACCCACAAAAATGACCCTTGCGCGCCAACGAGTCCTCAGTAGCTCAGAGGTTAGAGCAGCCGACCTACAACACAGAGGGTCGTGGGTTCCAATCTTTACATCTCCCTTTATTTCCTTTATAATAATCATAAATGAATGGCAGTAAAAAAACAGGAACACTAAGGTAGTTTTTCATAACCTGTACAACATGAGTATTAACAGATCATAAATATTTTAACATCAAGGGAGTCCTTAATCTCATCTGGTTAACAGCTCACATTTTTCTTGATAGATCATCAGGACGTTACTTAATTAATCATGCATGTGAACATGTAACTTAGTGTTTCACAGACTAGAATAGGAACGACAAGTGAATAGAAAACTGGAACACTAAAGTGGTTTTCCATAACCTTAAAACAGAAGTTACTTAATGTGATTATTAATTAATCACAAAATTTTTAACATAAAGGAGTCCTTATTAATCTCATCTGATGAACAGTTCACAGTCATAAACAATCACAACTACTCATGGTCATAACTTTAAACAGTAAGACTTGAAGGGTTATTTTCAGCTAACCTTTAGCGCATGGCAAATGTTTGGCCTTTACAGAAAGCTAATAGGAAGATTTCTTTAAATTTGTCGAAACCTGCCATGTGGCAAACAGGAAAAGTGATTGTTTGTCCACAGGCCCCCACATAAGGGAAGCACAGCCTGTGATCTGGGTTGCGAATCAAACATTCATGGTCAAACTTGACAGTGATTGCACGGTCTGTTTTCCCAATGTCCCTATGTTTCTGTCCCGTCAGCCAACCAAGTACTCCTGCTGGTGTCAGGTCTGGGATGCTAAAGGTTTCAATCTCCTGATCATTATTGGTGCATTGGTCTGCATCATCATCTGTATTACAGGCTATAGCTTCTGTATAGCCTGTTATAACCTCGTCCTCAAGGCTGATTAGGAAGTCTTGAAAATTGTCCATAATTTCCTCTTCTTTCAGTCGTCGCGAGGACCCTTCTGGAGAGAATTCAGGTGCCATCAAGGAGACGAGGTAGTTAGCATCCACTTTCTGCTGCTGTCCCATAACAAATAGACCTCGAGTAACTTGTGAATATCTGGAAATAAGACCTGACAACCCATAAAGTTGCAACCCCTTTTTGAACTCCTTGAGGCAAAGGGTCCTCCTGCTCAGCATACTGACAACAATTGAGGCAGTTATGGAGTGCAAGTGTTCTTTATCGATCACCCCTGTGTACCCATGTTCAATAATGGTATCTTGATGATCCATGACATTGCTTTGTATGTGGTGCAGTAGTTCTTGTTCAGTTGAAGTCAGGTGTTGTTCAGGACTGACACTTGTGAAGTCAATGTCACTTTCCAGAACCAAAGTATTATAGACACATTCTGCTAAAAAGCATGGTGGTGGCCCGCCTTGGGCTAAGCTTGTTGCTGCTATTTCTCCACATGCTTTAAAATTTCCATTTTGGACGTCATTTGTGGAGTGTACTGGGCTGCCATTGGGAAAGAACTTTTTTCCAATATCTGCAATTGTCAAGGTGAGGAATTCCTTAGTCAATGCACCGGAATCAATTCCTTGCTCTCCAAGGAACTTGATTCTAAGTTCATGTTCCGGAGAAATTTTGCGGGATTCTCTACGCCAGAGGTTAAGAACTCTCTCTAATGGTGCGCCTCTTCTTACTACAAGGAACAAGGACTCTTTTTCCCTTATCACCTTCTCTTCTAGCACTTTAAGTACGCCAGCCTCATCATCTATAGTTGAACAATCAACAGATCCGAGCAAATGGCTGGTTTCCCTGTCAAAGTCTCTGTTGAATGCTTCCTGTAATGACCTTGCAACTTGTTCGTCATTCTTTATTTGAGTGTCTTCAGCATCATTGGTGGCAAGGTCAACGACAGATGGCCCAGGCATTTGATCAGATGAGGAAAACACTGGTTTTTCTAACAGTGCATCTGCATCTGAGAACATACACAAACAAATATTAGAATCACATTTCAGTAAATAAGCATTTGATGGAGTTCAAGAATATTTGCAGGTAAATAGCTACAGATAGGTGGACTGTTGGGTTGACCAGTGGATATGGGTTCAAATCTCGTGTATCGCCTATATTTTTAAGGTTTCTTTACATTTGGTTATAACATGACTACCAGAATCCAAAATTTCTCTGCAAGTGCATCTCTTTGTTAAATGCAATAAATGATGATAATAATAAATATTGATATATAACATATTTTATTGTTATAATAAGAAATAATAAGAATCATCCATGAATGATAGTAAACGATAGTAAATATAATTTCCACAGACAGATGCTTTGAAGAAAGATTAACAAATTCTAATTTTTCTTATTGCAAACAAGATGCAATTTAAATAGGCCTATTTCAATGTACATGTATTAAAATTCTCACTTGACTATGAGGCTTGTGGAAATACATGATATTCATTTCCTTTTGAATTTTTCCACTTTACTGAGTCTTGGAGACAAGTCAGAATTTTAAGGTATTGAAATTGGGCTATTTTATGGAAAGAGTTACCTTGATCATTATTTGGCTGCAAAAGATGGCTTTCAATTGGTTGGGATTGCTGCAGCTGGGTGGGGCACGACTGACTTGGCCGATGTTGTGCTGATTGATTTCCTATCATAAAATAAGTACCAGTAAATGACTTAAAAGTATGCTAGACAATGATCAATAGCTGTGGTCACACCACACACTTTCACCCTTTTGCCCAGGGCAACCAGCCTCAAAATCTGCTCACCAAACCTACAGTAAAATAAGTCAATCTATTTTTACATGTACCTGATTGTTCTTGCTCTTTCTCTTCATCTTCTACCTCTTCATCTTCCTAAACAAAGTGAAAGAGTAATTTTAATAATAAGGCAAACTCATTTTTCACATCTGAATGTGGGAGAGGGGAATGGAGGCGGGGTATGTGGGGGGTGGGGGGAAGAGGGTGCTGTTTATATCCATACAACATTTATTGAGGAATTTTGAGTTCTCACCTGCGTGAAACTGGGCAATAATTGCTGGCTCGGTCTGACGTAAATCGGCTTGGTCTTGAAAAGTCGATGAAGAATTACTCCGTTGATGCCTTCCTGCCCGGGAGCCAGAGTTGGCTTTACAAGTTTACTGTGGACAGACGTCAAGATCTCCACATCCACAAGACGGGGGATTTTATCTCCAAAGGCCTCAATGATTGTAAGTTCCACATCTATCTCGGTCATTGCCTTGGTAAACCGACAGGCAGAGAGCACGTGGCCATGCTCCATAAGGGTAACTCTGGCCCCCTGCCTGGGGACCACGTTTGTTGTTGGACCGTTCAGCAAAACCAGGTCACATAGAAACGGGCTGCTGTCTGGCAGTCTAGCCTTCTTTGTTCTTTTATTTACATTGCTGCCAATTCGTCTCTGGTTTGACAACCTTCTGAAGTGCGACAAACCACCTGCTTGCGAGGCGCACGAGGAATTCCCGCCAACGCCAATCCCACTGGAAGTTGATATAGTTGAGCTTGGCACAGCATTTGTTGCCCTGGACCTACCAAAAACCTGTGATATTTCGTTATCAACAGATCGTGGCTGACTTCCGGATGCCATTTGATCGGACAGCTGTTTTACGCTGGTGATAAGCTGGCGAACAATGTCAGTCGTTTGTCTCGAATCCTCCTCGGCCATTTTGTTTGACCAATGCAGGGTAGGTACTTCATTTATGACTGCTGTAGTGTATCGGGATATAGATTCTTATAGTGTACCGATATGAAGTACCTACCCAACGCAGAACGTGAACCGCTGAACGGTGCTTACTCGCTGGCTCGAGAAAACCTAATCGATAATCTCGAACGGTGATTAAAATTCTCACACATTGATTACAGAAGCTCGAAAGGTTGGTTGGAACTCATACCACTTTTGTCATGTTTGGCTTTTATGTTGCTGCATCGCTCTTTTTCGAATGGTGATTTCTCATTCTCGTATAGTAATTTCCAGATCTCACAAATCGATTACATTCTCGAATGGTGATTTCTCATTCTCGTATAGTGCCTTTTCATTCTCGAATTATGATTTCTAATTCTCGTATAGTGATTTCCCAACCTCATACATAGATTACTGAAACTCGATAGATGATTTAAAACTCATACCACTTTTGTCATGTTTGGCTTGCCATACTGACGTTTGAAGTTAAAAAATGGAAACCAAATTCAATAGCGAAGTGAAGCTGTAGGTAAGGTTTGTTGATATCGCTGGGCTTGTGTTTGAACTTCACGAGTAGTTTGTAGATTTGTCGGGAATGAACGGGTCGATCGAGTTGAATTCGAGCTGACTTGACTTGAAAGGTATCTGTATCCTGTGTCCTGGGTAGAAAGTTGTGGGCCCAGATTCTCGCGGCCGATACTATGACAAGAGGAATTCGCAATGTTGTCCTTGTCCCGACTGAAACTTTGGATCTAAATTCCTGACTGCTAGGAAGAATCGTTAAAACCTTCCTAGACTAGAGAGGTTTTGTTAGCCATATGAAAGTGTACTCTAAGTCAGCTGTGTTCAAAAACCCCGTTGATAAGCTATGCCTTTTGGTTAAAGGAGACTGTTCCAGAAAAGGAAACACGGACACTTAAGACAAGAAGACATTTAATTGACATTTTTTAGGCTATCATTAGCTTGCATAGTGTACTACTCCTCTGATCTTTTTAGGTCTGTTTGCATTTTGGTAAATCGTAAGTGATTCAGTTGGGGGCCGGCATTTTAGGTCTAACGCCTAAAGAACAGTATGGTAAGTAATCAGATCCCCTAGGAGTCTCGCGTGCGTTTAGCTGATATGAATAGAGTTTTTTGCTTTGAGCCGCCTTAAATGCATTTTGAGCTTAGTTTTATTTCAACGTTGTTTTTACGAGTAGACCACTTCATGTATTTTACCTGTACAGAGTATCTCAAGCATTTACAGGGCAGGGTTGTTCAAAGCTGGGTTAAGATAACCCAGGGTTAGTGCGAAATTTGAATTCAGTTATGAAGGCTTAAAAAGTAAATTCAGTTTTATTCTTTTTGTCAACAAGTTGATGATTAGATGCTCTTAAAAATAACAAAGAAATTTATCCGAGAAAATGCTTTTCAACAAAAGAAAAAGAAACCCGGGTTAAATTTAACCCTGCGTTAAGCGCTAATCGGCCTTCGAACAACTGGGCTTAGAAGTGTGGCGCCAAAACAGTGAAAGTTTATTTTATTTTTAGGGTTGCATGACTAGTGTGTCAGCCAGGAAAATTTACTTGGTGGCCAGAAAGTGGTCCCTGAAGACCTTTTGTAGAGGTCAATTGTTTTAGGATGGCTGCCTTTTAGTTACGAAAAATTTTAAAGGTCTGTAACTGAAGGAAGAATGGAGTAACAGCGGAGACTGTCAAAATGAATCTTTATGTGTAGTTTTAAAGTTATAGTTTCATTTGATGAGAAGTTTAGACATTTGAATAGGCCATTTGCCCGATGACGTCTTTTTACTACCAAGACTAGAATTCTGAAACAAAAATTAACAACATAAAAAAAGTTGACGTTTTGATGGCTTCAGGTCATCATTATCAAAAGATAAGAAATTAACACGATTCGTCGTACTATTTATAGAAAAAGAAAGTGCATGTTAGTGTAAGCGTGAAAATCCTTATCAAAGACTATAAATCAGTTCGTTTTTTCTTTCATATTTTTTGTTATTTGAGGTTCAAATAACAAAACCCTGAAGGATAATGGTAGCAGCAGTAAAATGGAGCCAAAATGCAGTTGGCCTATTCTGGCAAAACACGAAAGTGAAGGTAACGACGGTAGGTCATTATTTGCAGCTGCTAACCCAAAAACGTTAAAGCTTCCCAAGATAACATACTTTGAAGTGCTTAATAATTTGATAACAATAAAAAGGTAATCAAGCAGAAAATAGCAATGCGACCATTATGAATAACATATAATGTGTACTGTCAAAAACAATATTTCGCCAGTTGCACATCTTCCAATAAAGACCTTGTCTACCCCCTAAAATTTTGCAAAGCATTGTTTTCAGTTTCTCCTGGGACGGCTGTAATACCCAGGAGAAATGGAAAAAAAGGTTATGCAACATTTGGGGTGGGTGGTGAAACAAGGTGTGATATTGGAGATGCGCAAATGGAGAATAGATTATGGTGTGTAGTGTTAATAATAACAGTAGCAAGTGCTTTTGGAGTGTTTGTACTCAATAAAGTTGCTTTTGAATCAGAATGTGGCTTATGTTATTTTGTTACTGACTGGGTAATCCCGACTCATTTCTGTCCGCACATCAAGAAGTTATGGAAAATTTACACTTATGACTAGGCTTTACAGAATGCTAGTCGAGATTCCGATGATTATTTTGATGCCCGCAAAAGGGGCTCTTTAATTCCACTTTGGGAATCACAATTGTTGATATAGTAGGGTGGCTAAGCAACAGAAGGCGTCGTTTTATGCACTTTTGATTACAAGCACCAAACTTGGCCCAGATGTTCCTCCTGGGCCGACTTTGAAGGGGTGCCAAGAAATCGGGCGTTCAGCAGGGAGGGGAGGAGGAGTGGTTTTGTCAAAGTACCACAATCTCTTGCTGCAGGTTTATGTGATATTCTGTGATCGGTTTTACCATGGAGAGAACCCATTACCAGACATTCTTACCACATCAACCCGCCTCAAAAAGTCGTCGTTAAAGATGAGCCACGAAAAAAATATTTGTTAGGTGCCTGACGTGTACCTTCATGTTATTTTGAGGGTTCTAAAACTACAATGCCAACAAAGTGCGGTACTCTTTTATGTACTGTTAAAGTCTTCGTGGATATGCTCAGTATTTTAAATTCGTTTTTGGACAACACAACAAAAGTTAACATTTTTGTTTTTGTACAAGTTGTACACGTTTTGACCTTTAAATGTCAGAACGATCTTGCGCCTCAATACTTAACGAGCAAGTTTACCAAGCGCTCAAATATGCATACTCGTAACACTCGTACACGGGACTCTTTGCAGAGTCTGCTATACAGAACGGCTATAGGCCAGCGCACATTTTCCTACAGAGGGGCCTACTAATGGAATAACTTGCATAATGAACTTAGGCAAAGTGCCTCATTGGCATCTTTCAAGCGCGCCCTGAAAGACACTATTGAGGCAGAAATTCCCTTCATAAGCTCTAGAATTTAGTAGAATACCATCATAAATGGTGATTTCGAGTTTTTTGTCATTTTTGCTTTTATAAATTGTAAATAGTTTATAAATAGTTCCTGAAAAACCTCACGAGGATGTTACTATTAAAGTTATTATTATTATTATAACATGCCTTATTGCAGCTAAAAAACTGTCATCATATCTTACCAGCGAAGAGAAATCCTTTACTCCACTTGTTTGCTGAACCACACAGCTTATACAGTATGTCCTAATCCGCAACAAAAATAGTGTCATTTCATGACAATGTTTGAAAATATGCACATCTTCAATGCAGACATGCTTGGAGCCAAATTGCAACATAGGACATAAGTGGTTACAGCCCGGAGAGTAAGGTTTATCTCAGCTCCACTGATACTGACACTTTGAGGAAGATTGACCTACAGATGTGTTTTCACACCCATGACAATTGTACAGTGTATTCCGGTTACTAACAAGGGCAAATAAAGTTCCTTAAGTCCAGTATCCACAAGGATTAATAAGAGAGTAACACATTGCATACACTGCTATAGGGCAGCACTGTTTACAGGAACATTAGTAACTATTAACATTTGATATACTACAATGTTCAACATTAATATTGCTTGAGAAAAGATGAGGTTCAAAGGTGGCAATATGCACACCTTTAGGTTCATATCATATCCTCATTCCTATGTAGAGTCTGACAATATTGTACTAATTTATGCATTCACTACGACTGTTATGATACATATCTCTAGCATGAGAATCAAATACATTATATCCCCCAGTCTCCATGCTGTAGATACCAACACCAATAATTGCCACCGTTAAAATGAATCAGTTGTAGTTCAGTGCCAAGAGTGTTTCAAATGCTGTACCCTGTGAGTGGCATATACATTAAGTGATGGATGTTAGAAGTATAACTGTCACTGTATTCAAGGTGGGAAAATTGTTCAAACACTGTAACCATTCCTGGCAATTCTGTTAACATTAACACAGATTATCTTGCAAGCAGTGACAGACTAGAATATAAATGAATACCATTCTCTCGATATCAGTACAAAGCTTAAATTGGCCAAAATTAACCCGGTGATTCAAACTGTTGTAAGCACTGTAAAATGGATAATTACATGTACAGAGGGGCAAATTCTTACTTAAAAGCCTATTTGGATATCTCATTCCACCTAAATCGCCTGTGCTTTGATGCTTAGAAGACAGATTCAGGGGCACCCAACGACTGTTTTCTGTAAAATATCTGTTCGGAGAAGGAAATATTGCCTAGAATTTTCGTTTCCTTGAGGAAGGCTAAAAATTTCTAGATGACCGTTCCATTCATTTACAATTTTCGAAGCTTATCTCATAAATTCCCTACTATTTTCTGAAGTTTGCTTTTCGCATTTTACTACCTAAGTTATGCTATTTTTCGTAGAAAAAAGGGAATCAAAAATTTTCGCATTCAAAAATATGATGGCGAGGGGAATCAGAAGATGTCTCACTTTCGTAATACGTCAAATTTCATCTAAAAATTTCGG